TGGACTCTGCTTGGAAATCAAAAATATCCTTTCCTCCCCAAGTTGTCACAGCAATTGAAGGCAAGCTAGAACAATAATCAAACTGAAAACTAGAGGAAATTTAATTAATTGTATTTACTAGTTTCCACTTCTGTAACTGTTACTTTATTTTTAGTTTATGAAGCCAGTTTCATTTTATTAGTGCACTGAATAAATGATTCATGAATTAATTGCCCATGATATAAAACAGTTTTTTGATTTATTATTATTATTATTATTGTTATTATTATTATTTGATGTTTTTGAAACAGAGCCTCCTGGTAGCCCCAGCTGGGCTGGAACTCTCTAGGTAGACCAAGCTGGCCTCAAACTCACAGACATATGCCTGCATCTGCTTCCTGAGTGTTGGGATTAAAAGCTTGCCCCCACACCCATTTTAGAACAGTGTTTTTAAAACAGAAGCATGTACTTGAGTGGGATGTGGGAAGAAGTATCAGGTATGAGCTGAAATGGAACTTAATAGAGGTGGAGAAATGCTCACAATGGGAACAGACTGAAGAGATGATAGTGTGATTCAAAACAAGCAACCCAGTAACTTATGCTGTATGTAGACAATGCGTTTTTGTTTACCATTGCTGCATGTTTTACTGTCAGCTACTAACCTGAACAAGCCTTCCCAATACTAGTACAGCACAGAAAATTTCAGTGGAAAGAAATAGTGCTGAACTTTGGCAGCACGTAAAAATCTGGGCTGAAGGTAAACCTAGGTGGAGTATGCTGGGCACCTGAATCTTAGTATGCACTGTCAAGTACAGCTAGTAATTCTCATACTCACTTCTGAAACCAGACACATGTATTTGTTGTCTGTACTGGTTTTGCATAAGATGTGAACCATGAAGACATTGGCTTGCCTTTCAGATTAGTTGAAAATATAAATTAGAAATCATACTGCAAAGGAAAGAGGCATAGTATTTTGAAGTTTCAGATGAGTTGACACAATAACTGAAGACAAAACACAGAATTTAAGCCTAGATCCAACATATAAAATATTAACACATCCATTCATGTAACACAGCATACCTTTAGCCTAGTTCTCTCAGCAACTACACATATGTGAGAAGATCACTTTATCTTCAATGATAGAATAAAGCAGTGGTAGGTATTGCATGTGCGCTTCGCTCTTTAGTCATTAAAGATTTTGGATTCAAGAACAGTAAATACTAGATAATTATTTCTCCACAAAGCAAAAAATTTGCTGTGGATAAGTGATTTGAGATTTTAGTAAAGCATTGGGGATTTTATAATTGTGATGTCTAAGGCTAATCTTGAACAGGAGTTCAATACTAACATTCTGAATGGCAGTAGAAATATTATTAGAGGAGGTAATAATGAATGAATCGAGTCCAAAAGGGTTAGTAGATATTCAGAAGGCAGACTAGGGGGAGGAAAGTGTATTCTAGGTTGAGGAAGCAGAAACTGCATGGAGGACAACTGGCCTGGCATAGGGCATAGTGAGGCAGTGACTTCTGCAATATAGACGTAAATAACTTTTCCATAACCTCGCAACCAAAAAACTTGTGATATAAACAAGTTCACTTAGCCATGTGCTCCTCTTGTGACCTGGGCATATGAATTTAATACTTCAGGATCTTTCTTTCCTGCCACCTAAGATGGTGTATAAATGTGTGTGCAGATTTTCACAGATCAAAACACTGCAAAATCTGAACTTATCTTATTGAAAGCAATGAGAGAAATTTATAACGCCTGTCTACGGGGGGGGGGGGGGGGGGAAAAGGACAAAAACCTCTCATAAGGGTCAGAGTTTTACTTCCCAGTTTCATGCAGGATATACTGCTTCAAAAAACAAATGAGCAAAGCCCTTCTTCAAGAACACACCTCCAAGAAAAATATGAAGGAACATGTTTTCAGAAGGTCAGGTCCTTTCTTGGCATTAAAATAGATACTATGAGTCAAGCTGTTTCTTTATTAAGTCATAGATATAATGTGGCTTAAAAATGTCTCAGTATGGTAAATAGCTTACTAAGCTGCTGAAGCTGTGAAATTTACAGGAAAAAAACATAAAAGTGCGCTTTGGACATAGTCTCTGCCATGGTAAAGAGCAAATAGTCTATGAAGGTCAGATAACGTACACAATAATATGCTCTTGGGGGAAAGTGATAGCTAAAAACCAGACCAGAAAAATAAGAGTTATTGAAAAGTACCTCTTTACTAAAAAGTTCTGTAATTACTCCATTCACTAAACAATGAGAGTCATGAAATAGTTCTAATTTTGGAAGTATCAAGATGAAATTTAAAATATTTTATTTATTGTTTTTATTGTTTGTATGAGTATATTGCCTGCATGTATGTCAGTGTACCCATGCTGTGCAATGCCTACAGAGGTCAGAAGAAGGTGTCAAATCTGAATCCCCTGCAAATGGAATTAGAGATGGTTGCTAGCTGCCATGTGGGTGCTGGGAATTGAACCTGGGTCCTCTACAAGAGCAGTCAATGCTGAGACATCTCTCTAGCCCTCTCAAGATGAAATTTTAATATTACAAAGAGTACTTGAATACATAAAGTAAGGAGAAGATAAAAATAAAGTGAAATTGTCAAATTAGGAAAGAAGCTCAAAGCAGAAACATTGACAGTAGATTTATGTCAAGAGGGTCATAACTGAAATTTTACAAAAAAAAAAAGTGTCACAGGATATAGTCAGTGACAGGACCTAGATAGAGGACGAGGATGGATCTCAGATGTCTGACATGATGTTGAGTGATGGTATTACTAGAAAATTCTCAGCTTAAACACCATTGCTAATGTCAAACCAGCATAATTATAAACCATATCTTCAGTATTTAGACTCTCATTTCCACCATAATTCAACTGTTTTGTCTTCTTCCATTCCAAAGTGTCTAATTCCTTCACTCTTCAGTGTAGCCTTTCTGAACTCTGTCTTTCCCATTGTCAACTTTTGAGAGCTACCATACAGTATTTTTGTACCCAAGAAGGCAATGTTTTTCAGAGGTTTCTGTGCTTAACCAGTCTCTCATATGCTATAATGTTTAATTTGTCCCATTTTAAATTTGATTCTTAAAAATCTTATGTCTCAAGCTGCAGCATTACATTCCTGAAGCCCACTCTTTCTGTTGGGTTCTGACCATCAGTTTGCTGAAGCATCTCATAACACTTTTGAGCTTCTCAAGTCCATGTATTTGGGGTATTTTTATTCATCTTTAAATTCTTGGTGACACCATTGGTACAGTATATTGGGTCCTGAGATGCCAATTATTAGACACAGCTAAGAGTGTGCACAGAGATGTTGACATTTAAGCTTTGGCTCCTACATTTATCAACCCTCTGAACTGATTTTCTCAATTCCTATGCTTTAATTCAACTGTTTTTAAAATAGCAATAATTGTTTCACCTTTTTCTAGACTTGTTAATAAGTTTTGAATGCTATTACTTATGTATCTTGCCTCTTCCTCAACATTTATAACTTTTTTTTAATTTTTAAAAATGATTTATTTAATAACAACATACTTAGAAGAAGCATATCATTACAACACAATTGACATATTCAATAACGTTTTCCTGAGGTAGGATGCATCTCTTTCAAATTTGGCTGTAAATTTTTAGGTTTACAGTTGAATTATTACAGTTATACAATATTGTACTCAGTATAAACCCTATAAGACATAAATTAAATGATGTTTTAACCTTTAAAAAGATCTCCATTTCATTATTAAAATACACAGTTTCATATAGAAAAATTCTTTTTCAATGCAATTGACATTGGATGTTTGCACATGCATTTCTAATCTCTAAATATCTGATTATTACTAGTCACAGTTGGTTACTTTCTGAGCTTCTAGGCATCTGGGCATGAATATAAAGTCATCAGGTAGATTTCAATGGCAATGTTTTTCACATCTACTAATTATTGTTTTTTAATCATTATTTTTTTATTTTTTTTTCATACAGAAGAATTCATTCCAAAGCAATTGACATTGAGATGACTTACTTTCTAATGGGATGGATAAAATTAGCAACTTATGCAGTTAAATACGTAAAATTAACATGATTTTCTTTATTGTATTTTTATTTTGAATGGGCTGAAAATAAAACCTCAATGAGATAACACTACACATTTATTTGAATGGCAAAATAAAAAATAATATCTTGATGAATACAGAACCACACTGGTGATGGAGATTTAAAATAGCATTTTGTTGGCCCAGCATAGTGGCACACACCTTTTATCCCAGCACTTGGGAGGCAGAGGCAGGTGGGTCTCAGTGAGGCCAGGCCAACCTGGTCTACATAGTGAGTTCCAAGACAGCTGGAGCTACAGGGAGATCCTGTCTCAGAATGACAAAAAAAAAAAAAGTGTATTATTCACAAAAGCAGATTTTCAGATCTCTCAAAACAGAATTTAATATTGTAGGCACAATTTATCTATCTATCTATCTATCTATCTATCTACCATCTCTCTATCATCTATATCATCAGTCATCCATTTATGTATCATGTAGGCATCTGATAATGAATCACTGCAAAATAACCTGAGTCCACCAGCAAGTCTAAGTAGTGATCTAAACATGCACACATACATAGCATCATCATCTATATCATCTATTTATCTATCATCTATATCTATCATCCATCTATTATCTATATCTATCTATCTATATCTATCATCTATCATCTACCATCATCATCTATACGATCTAGCTATCTGTCTATCTATCTATCTATCTATCTATCTATCTATCTATCATCACCTGCCTATAGAAGCAAACTTGCATTCCCAAATGTGCTTCACTGTGAGTCTATCCACTGGACCCTGGTCAACCTACCAATAGTTTCACCCCTTAAATGAGACTATGAAGTCCTAGGTTTCATCCCAAGAACTATATAAACCAGACTTATGGATGCATATACATAATTCTGCAGCATTTTCATGTCAACTATATTTATACCGGAATAAAGAGTCTTTTATCTTTAAGTCTTCGTATTTTTAAAATATGGAATATGTCACAAATTGTGAGTCATCTTCCACATGGGCCATGCTAATCATCTCTGTATTGTTCCAATTTTAATATATGTGCTGCTGAAGCCAGCACTTGAATAGTTTTTAAGAATGGGCCTAAACTGGGAAAGTACCTGTTCCTCAAGTGTCAGGGGTCAGTGACCACAATTCAAGCCTGATGGGCTTGGGGGCCCCAAGGTATAAGTACAGAAGAAATCGGGATGCAGGGGATGCAGAGGCGTGTGAACCAGTGCATGCTTTATTCTAAGAAGCAACCTTATTTATAGTACAACAAGAGGAAGAGAAAACGTTCTTCTCAAGCCAAATTACCTCATCATGATGTTTACAGTACGTTTATAATATTTGCAGTACCTTTGTGTTCCCAGGGCTCAGCCCTTTTTGGAATCGTACCTGTCCTTCCATGCCTATTAAACATTCTGTTCTTTACATATAACTTTATTAGTTACACAGCCTTATTATACAAGCTTACTTATGTACGTTTAATAGGGTTCAAGGAACTGTCAGTCTCATGATAGGAATAACTGCAAAAGAACATTCATGTCTCAGGGAACTGAGGCCTCTTTCCCGGTCCAGGTCTGAGTTCACTTCAGGTCAGAACTTACTCTGAATTTACTTCAGATCAGAGCTCGGGCCTTCATACTCAAGATATCTCCCAGAACTGTTCTCTTGAGCTAGACTTCACCCATAATTTTATTTAAAACCCTTTCTCCAGATTTAGTTAGGGAATTACAAGCTTGGATACATGCTTTTCACACAAGGTTGCCCTTTCAACTCTAGGCCTCAAAAATCTCATACACACAGTGTCATGCATTCTTCTTAATCTTCATTTTTTTTCAATGAAGTTGCACTGCCTTTTAGAGCGGCAAATTAACATTTTAAGGGATAAAGGTCAGATGCCAGGTGATAAGAACACATGGTTCAGTGAGTTTATTTGCAGTTTTGTTCTGTTTTGGTTTGGTTGCAAGGTAAATTAAAATTCATTAGTTCACATTCTATTTTATAAGAACCATTCCTACATAATTCAAGCATTTGGAGTGCACAGAGACAGGAGGTGAACCTCCCACATCTGTCAGGTTATCCTCAGCTACATAGCCAGTTGGGTGTCAGCCTGAGATACATGAGATCCTCAAACAAACAAACAAGCAAACAAACAAACACTAACAGCAACAGCAGCAATAACAAAATAAAAGTAACAAATAGATCACTCAAGAATAAAACAATGTGTCTTACCTATAGATTTTATAGATGCTAGGAGAAATGATTCAACAAAATAACAAATTATATAAAACAATAATTATAGCTATAAGTCCTACAAAATAACTATTCAACATACTATTTAATAGCTTTTAATTAAAAAAATTTTATTATTTTTATGTGTATGAGTGTATTGTTTGCATGTCTGTGAATGCATCCATGTCATGAAATGCCACAGAGGTCAGAAGAGGGCTTCAGATTCCCCTGGAACTGGAGTTAAGGACAGTCCATGGCTTCCATGTGGGTGCTGGGAATCAAACCCAGGTCCTCTGCAAAAGCAGTAAGTGCTTAACAGCTGAGCCAACTCTCCAGACCCCAGTGTTTAATTTTTAAACTTTGAGATAATTATAGATTTTCATGCATCTGAAGTTATATAGTTTCTTCAAGTCGTGATATCATAATTATAGTACAGTGTTACATAGAGCAAGTGGAGACTGAGGCAACCAGTAACCTTTCTAAAATAACATTAGTTTTCATTTGTGTGTGTATCTTTATTTCTGTGCAAATTTATTGCAGTGTGTATTTATTTTGATCATCAAGGTACTTGTAATGAAGAAACTCACCATGGTCACCTATTCTTCCTTTCTCTCCTTTTACATGACCTTTAAGAACTACTAAACACTTTTCAGTAATACAGTGACATAAATTATCTAAAACAGCAGTGTAAACACTAAAGTTCTCTTTTATTTTTTCTCTGCATAACCTGATTAAGGACCATCCAGTTATGTGAATCAACATTTGTATTTATGAGATATTGAGTTACTCTTCTTGTCACTCTACAAAATACATGACAAAAGAAACTTAAGGAGAAAAGGGTTATTTGAGCTCACACTCTGAGGGGAAAGGCTGTCATGAGAGTGGATGCATGGCAGCAGGATCTTGAGACAGCTGGTCAGGTTGCAACTGTCAGGTAATAGAGAGTGAGGAATGCTGGTGCTCAACTTGCTTTCTCCACTTTTTTCAGTTTGGATTCCCAGATCTTGAGATAATAATCTTCTACCCTCAAATAACCCAATCTCAGAACTTCCTTGCAAAAATGTTCAGAATTTTGTCTCCAGTGTTTCTAAATCCTGTCAAGCTGACAACAGTTTCCATCATGGAATTTTTTTGTAGTATTTAAGGAAAAAAATGTATTAAACCATTATTTTCTGAGATGCTACCCATTTCTATTAAGTAAAAATTATATCGAAAAATTACAGTATTTTGTGAAAACACAGATCTTCATTTTTAGCATAAATTCTCAAATGTGCAATTCCAGTACCATAAGCAAGACACATGCCTAGTTTTGAGAGAACTGCCAAACTGCAGTTGTGAATGAACATACCATTTTACATGTACAACATCCATGTATGAGTGATTTAGTTTCTGCATTTTCCACAATATGCTACTTTTATTTCTGTGCCTTGAATTGTCATACCAATAAGCCCCTTGTGATTTTAATGTACATTCTATGGTTGTTTGAATGAAAATGTCCCCCATAGGCTGCAAGTATTTGAACATTTTCCCCAGTTGGTGGCACTGTTTTGGGAGGTTTTAGAAGGTATGGCTATGTTGGAGGAAACCTGGGGGGGGGGGCTTAGCGAGTTCTTAAGCCTTATGGGATCTCAGATGCTCTCTTGCTGCCTGTGTCTGCTTGAATATGTGAGGGCTTAGCTTTCACAATTCTGTCCAGGCATCTCTGTCACCATGCCTTCCCATGGTAATGGACTCTTGCCCCTTGGAACCATAAGCCTAAATAAACTCTTACTTTTATACGTTTATTTACTCAGTGTTTCTGTCAGAGCAACAGAAAAGTAAAAGTAACCAATAAAGATTCCCTCTGCTATCTTTTTATTATTTATTTATTTATTTATTTTTGGTCTTTTTGAGACAAGGTCTCCCTGTAGCCCTAGCTGGCCCTGGAACTCATTATGTATTAAAGGCATGTGTCAGCATGCCTGGAATTGAATAATAAAGTTTCCAGGTTTTTTTTTAACCTATATTAATATATAAGCACATATTAAATACATAAAGGTGTATATAGTTCATGCTCATTTTGATTAAACTAAAGTACCATATTGTTTTTCTATAGTGGAATAACAAAAGAACATTTACATTATGTTATCTCTTAACTTATTTCTAAGGAGAAGTGGTCAGGGAGGGCCTATATTTCACAAGACAAACTGAGACAATAAGCAATTATCTGGTTGAAAATGTTAGTGGCAAGCCCCAAGGTAAAGGAATTGATTTATACAATGTAGGCTTCCAGTTGTTAAAAATAAAATTTGAAGTTGAAGATTTTCTTTGCAAAAGGGTGTCCTCCTTCATCATTCAGGTGGAACAAGCAGACACATATGATAGGACTTATTCATCACACAAGAATAATGTGTATTTTCCCCATTGTCTGGGATCAGACCTTAAAGTCTTTCCTGGCTGGCTAGTTAAAAGAATAGAACAAATGAAGTGGGGAGTGCTTCGAGCAAAAGGCACAAAGGACTCTGCTAGCCCAGGCCATCAGGTTTGGAACAAAGATCTTACATGAGTGTGTGTGTGTGTGTGTGTGTGTGTGTGTATGTGTGTGTGTATACGCATGCACACGCGCATGTATGAAAGGATTAAAATTCCTTTTCACAAGCTAAAATTTTTACAAGGTTTGAAAGAAAAGACTAGCATTAAATGTTCCTTACACAGTTCCCAAAATGCTTACAATTGATTGATGCAGAAAGCTTCATGATTCAGATTATTATAGTGATGATACAGCATTTAAAAATACAAGAAAAAATATATAATTTTAAAGAATCACTTCAAAATAACTCAAGACCTTTTTCACATGTTTCTTGAATAGCAATTCATAGAAAACACTAGCTAAAATTACATTGTTTTGTCCCACCACCTGTATTTGAACTGATGTTTTGCTTTTTATTTCAAATGATTTTCAATCTATAATATAATTAATATAGAAGATACTTGTAAAATCTCAACTTTGATGAATTGATGACATAATTCTTAACAGTGCACAGACAAAATAAAAAGTTATTTTTGTATTTTTTGATGTGAACATTGATGTTCTAATTTAAATTTTTTGATACTACTTATGTAAAACATTCAGTTACAGATTTTTTAATCTTTTTCAATAATATATTGGCTGAGTTTATTTATTTCACAAATAAATTACAAGAGTATAGCCATCTTTGTCTTCACTTTCAATACAAGTGGAATATTGACAAGCAAGCAAAATATCGAGAAATAGCCACTTAAATTCAGTGATTAAAAAGAGTTTCTTTTTTTCCTTTTCTCTTTTTATTTTTATGACTTCTTCCTATTACATTCACTATCAGTAACATCTCATTGTTCAATTTTGCTTTCCATTTTTCATGTAAGTGTAATTATTATTTATGAAGTGTTTTCTCAGTTTATATTTAACTCTATTGCTGTTGTCAATGATGTACCTCAGGACTTTGTTTAAAAGGCACTTTGGTTATTTGAATTATTTATTTAGTTTCTTATTAAGAATAATAAGCATTTTATTTCCTTTTTCCAATGTAAAAATATCAAAATAATTATATCTAAGAATAATGTACACATACCCATATTAATAAGGCATTTCTCAAATATTCTATTACATATATGTTAGTGTCAATAGTCCCAGATTCAAAAATGATCCTTTAAAATCTTCATGTCTTAATTTCTCTAAGACAGTAATTGAAAACATTAATACAATTTATATGACACAGTTTTATTATTTGTATTTTGATAACTAGTATCATACCATAATCAAGAAATAATTTTATTATTGACCTAACTTTTCTTAGTAATTTCTTGCTAATTTCCTTTAAATAT